AAAATTTGTATAAATAGCGCTGACAGGCAACACGACCGCTTCCTGTGAATTCCAAAATGCGAGTCCCCTTCGAGATGCTAGTATCCGTGTTGCGCCTCTCTTTCGAAAATTTCAAAATGGTGACCTCGGACGCTGATACAAACCCCTCACAAATGGCTCACTCGAACAGGACTCCGTTACCCTTAGATGGAATACTACGAACGCCACTGGTCAGCTAAGCGAAAATAGCATTGTCTCTAGAAATGTTCAATTCATATCTGTTTGCAGCGGTATTCTGACCTCTCTTCGTGTACGCCTTCTTATTGTCCATTAAAGCATCTGGTCATGATCTCTGGCACAAAAAAATGTACATGGAACTTCAAGCTCTCATGACATATTACAGCTCTTTTGCCTAAGGATAGCAATGTATGTAGTTTCATTCAATTTGATAATTCCCCCCCCAAAAAACGCGGATATTAATAATAAAGTGGAAATTAATTAATTTAATTAATGACATCAGTATCACCGAATCAAATGAAATAGAAAACATAAAAACTGATTAACATGGCCTATAATTCTGGGCAGTTAGAGATTCTGTCTAAAGCATTGAAGATAATACTCATTCTGTAAGAGAACAAAAGAACTCACTACACTTTCGTTCTCAGAGTGGGTGTGCCAATTCAGACTAAACTGCATTATTAAATCTATAAAATTTTTAGCACAGAATAAGAAAATAAATGAATCCATATCCTACAATATGTGCCAAATGGTTATACGGTGAAAAGGTTGTGGTAACCCCCACTTCTACATCACCGCTGGCATACTCTACCGAAATTCATTCGCCAAGCTTCATGTCGTACAAAGGATAATCGGACAGTTTAACGTTATTAAATCATGCGATATGAGTGTTTCCACAGTTACATACCCCGCAGTCTGGTTGAAAGACTTAGGCGAACATGTACGCCAGGCAGACCGCCTCTGTGGTCTAGTGGTCAGAGTTCCTGACTACAGATCCAGAGGTCCCAGGTTCGATTCCCGGCGCTACCAGATTTTCTGAGAAGTTCTGGGTCTGGAACGGGGTTCACTCAGCCTCGTGAGGATAACTAAGGAGCTATTTCATGGAAATAGCGGGTCCGGGCTACAAAACAAGAGCTTAACGGCCATGGTAATCCGTTGCGCTGACCACGTGACACCCTCTACCCGCAAAAGTTGGTACTAACTTCGCCGACAAGCTGCGGTCGCTCGATCGGTATAGTTCGCTTGCGGACTACAGGCAACGGATTATTTTAGCTTTTTAATGTATGTAGGCCACGCATAGTGACTCGAGTATCATTTCAGGGCAGCAGGCCTCATTATCTGTCCAACTTAATAACATACTTACAGAAGCTCATATTATACAAAGTCGAATAGAAGAACGATTTGTGACTAATGAATTGGAAAGCATGAGATCGAATGCAGTAGTGGTCTAATTGGTACTTGCTTGGAGGAACTGAGTAGAACCACGAAAACTAGTCAGTTCATCGATCTCCGAGCCGTTATTTCAATCCAAGGCTTTCGAACATGAAGAACGCATGCTTCCCATTGGACCGAGACGTTTCACTCGGCGTTCGCTTTGTTAAACGCGGAATCACAGGAAAAAGCACCTGATAAACATTTCCGGCGTTCAGTCTAGGAGCTTTACGAACGCACTGCTCTTGTCATGTGTTCAGCTGTTAAACAGCACAGTGTCCATCGGGGAAGACGCCTGGGTTAATTTCCACGATTGCCTTCGTCTTTCTGTTTCAAAAAACAAATCCGTGGTCTGTAGTCCGCAAGCGAACTATACCGACCGAGTGACCGCCGCTTGTCGGCGAAGTCAGTGCGAACTTTTGCGGATAGAGGTCACGTGGTCAGCGCAACGGATCCCCACGGCCGTTAATCTTGGTTTTCATGTGTGATTTGTAGTGAACAAAGTGGCGTCGGGGCAGGTCTTCTCCGAATACTTCGGTTTCCCCTGCAAATTCTCATTCCACCGACTGCTCCACACTCATCATCATCATTATCTGGGGCTGGTACAATAGGCCAGTTAGTGGCCGACGTATTAAGTGGACTCAGCCTCACACCACCCCAACGGGAGGGGGAAAAACCTCTTCCAGTTCAGAATATCTGAAACAGGAATAATACACAGGGTTTGCAGGATTCCCTGGATGGGCTGTTCCGCACATCCCCAGGTCTCGAGTGGCACAGAAAACGCAAACATAGAATAACCGCAGATATACATCCATACCTCGAGTGAAATTCCTACCAACGATAGAAACCAGTAAGCGCCTTAGATCACGATGCCAGTGTAACCAACCCACGTATATTTACGAGCATATTATACAGGTATGTAACAGCAAGAGTTCATTGAAATGTCCTGGGGGGGGGGATAATGAAAATCCGCTATCATAAATCGGAATCGCCATTTTGATCTCTGTAGCTTTGGCAGATACATTAAGTGTCTATCACGTCGTATAAACAAATGTCTACAATTAAAAAATACAGAGAAGATTCATGAGGACATTTACAGGAACAGCTACTGGAGGTAATATAACTCCTGCACCAAAGAGCGGCGTATGGTGAGGTGGGGGTCTCTTGGGGTTAAAAGTGGGTCATCATATCTCTCTCTTTTTCTGTGGCGTGAGAAACAGCAGCAGAAGCACAATACTTGCTTGGGATTGCAGTGTGGCAGTTTCACAGTTGCAGAAACACCCATTATCTCATTTTGGGTTAAAATATTCCCACGGAAAGGCATCAGCTCCATCTAATGGGCCCAAAAGAATAAGCTCCATATCGTTACCTGATAACGGAAGTGGAGACTGACTCCGCAACATTGTGTTTGGCTAAAATGAGATGGTTGAGATGTCCGGTATATTTACGAGTTCAGTAACATACCTCTGTCACAAACTTATAACATCATAATTACCCTCAGTTCAAAAGACCTACTTCTAAAAAGGCAAAACTCGAATTTGGCCTGATGTAAGCAACCTTCTGCCATACTTCACAATAACATGGACTGTGCTCGTTCCTGTCATCACCGTGTCGGTGATACTAAGAAAGAAACTGACTCCATAAGGCATAGTCATTCTTCAGAAACTAATGGTCACTTAAAGGCCGCGCCATAACTCAAGCGGTTAGTCGCTGGCTTCCCACCGCGGCGGCCCGGGTTCGAGGCCGAGTCTGGTCAAGTGGGATTTGTGGTGGACAAAGTGGCGCTGGGGCAGGTTTTCTCCGAGTACTTCGGTTTCCCCTGTCAATCTTCATTCCACAAAATTCTCCATCATCATAATCATCCGGGGCAGGTACAATAGGCCAATCAGTGGCCGATGTGCCAAGTGAACCCAACTGGACTACAACCCCCACTATGCGAATTTAAAAAAAGAATGGTCACTTGGGAACTGAAGAAATGTTCCTGCCTTTTGGGCAACACAATCCCACCAATGGACCCTGCCCTGAGCCAGTTAAATCCATTCAAGATCCTCACACCTTACTTCAGTTTCATTAATAGCATATCCCCATCAATGTTTAGGTCTCTCACGAGGTCTCTTTCCTTCAGACTGACTAAAAATTTATATGCATCTTAATATCTTCAGTTGTCATGCTTACTACATGATCCACCCAATTCATAGCCTTCATTTCATCACCCTAATATTTGGAGACACTAATAATTATGGAGCTCTTCATTATGCAGTGTCCTTCATTCTTCTGTTACTTTACCCCTCTTATCCAGACATTCCCATCAGCACCCTGTTCTCAAACGGTAAGAGACCAAGTTTCACATCAACAAAAAACAAAGACAAAATTACAGTTTCATACACTTTATTCTCCACATTTCTTTTTAATATGGAATGGGAAGACAAAATATTTTGAAATGAATGGTAGCAAGCAGTCCCTAAATTTGATCTGGTATTTCTTTGTGAATGTAATTTTGATTGCTTATCATCATTCCAGGTTATTTTAATTTTGCCTGTTTTTAAAACCATTCTTATATTACAATTTTGTGATTCTATTCTGTTGACTAGACATGAATGTCTGCTTAATTGTTTTGGCCTGTACTTTCAGACTAAACTGCTTACTAGTGCCTAATAATTCTAAGTGACATTTCAACTTTACTATAGGTCACAAATCAATACCAGCAAAGCTGTCAATGCTGGCAGTTCAAACATAATTTTTAAATAATAAATTAATTTATTATTTATTTATTAATTCTTGAAACTGGACTTATATAACTATTTCCATAAGATCTCTGTATAAATACTACTGCCTGCCATTCTTGCAACTTCATTTTTCTGGAAAGAGAATTCCATCTGGAAGACATAGATGGACTGAACATATAACCCCACTTGTCTTAACAGGAGACCACTACCAACTCCCTTCCCAACAGAAAATAACCTACACCGATAATTTCTCAAATACACTCTCCTGCTCCTTGCAGGTGATAACACTGCCTCCATAATTGTTTTAGGATGGGAAGAAAACTACGGTGACCTCCTTTAGGATATTATCCCTGCATTAACATTAAATTAATTAATTGATTTAATGGAATTAATTCCAAAAAATATCTATGTGTGGAGAGGATGACATTTTCAATACCTCCTGTGATCTGTGAATTGTAACAACTTCATTCTGAATGTTATCATGCACCAGGCATACTGATTCATCATCAAAATTCACATGCACTTGCAGCAGGTAGTGCACCAGCAGATGGGAAGCGCAAAGCATCAGTGTTTTGAAATATGCAGCTAACTTACTGAATAAGAACATTTTCCATTCCACAAATCATTCTACTTGACTCTGAAGTACAACGGTGCAGAGATGAATATATGGCTGAACTGAAAAATCAGGTTCAGTGAAGCGAAATGTGTCACTTCAGGATATGCGAACATTTATTTCTTCCATCTCCATTCTCCTTGTTACTCTTGGTAAGTTTATCCAGTTTTCAGTGGACCCAAACCTGATTCTTTAGTCCCCAACTCTCAAGAAGTAAATTAATCATAACAGACCTGGTGACAAGTCAGGAAGAGAGCAATCCAGACAAAAGCTCCTGCAATACCCTGGGCCGCCTTAGTCTCCAGAAACATTGGCGTAGCTTCTACAGACGTAGGCAAAATTGTTTGGTCAGCAGTAGTAGAAACAGTTCCACTAATCGTTGCAGCATTCAGTACAGTGGTAACTGTAGAATTGTTAGTACTTGAACTGCCCATTGCTATTCTGAAATAACATCAATAACAGAAAATTATTAGGAGGTGGTTTTACCAGACCACAAACCATTCTTTATGAACAAATCGCCGACTTTCGTTTGATGACACTGACCGCACACAAAATGTGTCTAACAATTCTATTGTTACATACTCGTTGCGTGGTAACATTTTTTACTGACCCGTTGCCTAGTAACGAAAGGAGAGAGATACTTTACCGAGCCTTTGCTTAGCAATGATAGGAGGGATACACGTACAGACACACAAACTGATGGGAGGGGTTTAGGCCATACGTCCGAGATGCGCTCCGGTGCCATGATATACATACAAAGTTCCATAAATATTGGTTTGGGCATTCAAAAGTTAATTGGGGGGGTTCACAGACACACAGACTGCATGCAGATCGCATAAACCTACTTCAGGAACGCAAGCTGAAAAGCAACATATTGTACTTAACGACCGTCATTTAACTGGTGAAGTGGTCCGACTAGGTTTTGTATCATCACACTCCATTAAAAAAGAAATCACACGTCATCATACGAACGAAACTCCTTACAGGTTTGACACTAACCATTCTCCTGTAAAGCCATACCACTTACCTAAATACAAAGTAACCTGGCTACTTGCTGATATCCAAACAAATGGTACTTTTACACTTAATTAATTTTAACACCAACAAGCCTGATTTTGATACTCGGTTTCACTCAAGTAAGAAATAAACGCTTAATTAACATTTTGAAAACTGCTTGCTTTCAACCTCCACTGCAAAGATCGCTACTCTCACTTCAACACTACTGACTTCCAGCATACACTACACAAACTATCACCATCTTATCTCACTTGTTCTGCGCTTGCGCGACAGTACGAGTACCACGTTCATAAAATTAACAAATGCCACGATGCACATACGAAATCCTCGTATACATATTCGTCGGGACTTGTAGCAAATGGAACTAACTCACGAACTACGCTATGCTAGCCAATGTTTGGGCGAGGACCCATCAAGGAAACTGGAAAAAGCAACGCAACCGCAATTTCCGAGGAATTGTTATCAGCCTGAGTTGAACACATGTTATTGAATGGTGCAGCGCAAATTGAGGAAACTGCGATGCTGCCCGAAATCAAGGGCGAGGGCACACCAAGGAAACTGCAAATTGCAACGCGGCCGCAATTTCCGAGGATTCATATCAGCCTGAGTTGAACGCATGTTACTGAATGGAGCAGCGCAAATTGAAGAAATGGCAACGCAGTTTCCTCAATTTGCGCTGCTCCAATCAGTAACATGAGTTCACGCGTGCTTCACTCGGAAATTACGGTCGCCTTGCGGTTGGCAGTCTCCTTGGTGCGCCCTCGCCCCTAATATCTTCTATTGCAGAAAGTAAAGGCATGAAATTAAGAAATACAATCGTGAATTATGTCGGACGAACATACCTAAGTTAATTGAGCAACAAATCTAAATTATTTTCATTTCATGCATTACTACTACCATCTCTATTTGTCGTGAGAAACTTCCAGCCTTGAGAGCACAATCGGTAAGAGAGTTACAATAAAAACAACAACGGCGCATGTTATAACCGTTACCACTATTCTCTTCCCACTTGTTACCTGCGTCCTGCTAGCTCCTGCTCCTGCTCACGGACATAAGCAAATATGGCGCTTGTATATGTGGATTCAGATCCATGGTAAGTAATTTCCCACTGCGTGAGAAATAGAGGAAACTTTGTTGAATGTTGTTGTTCATAGTCACCGCCGTGAGAACCTCAAATCTTACAATTCTGTTGTTTATAGAACTGGTTTAAACCCCGTCAGAGGATGAGGCGAATAATTTGATAACATTTGAGATGAATAGGTTAGGGTATAATCGTATGTGAACATTTTAAAGACGTCCAGTATAAGGTACGTGAGTTGTTCTGTTTATAGTAGTAAAATCAGTATGGAAATGCCCAGAATCATGTACTCTCTTGATCTGACAAGTTGTTGAAATAATGTGCATTTATGTTTGTGTAGGTTGACAGAACATGAAGCATGTGAAAAACTCTCCCGAGAAATTATGGAACAGCTTACTGTCCGTAGCGCAGAACAAAAGACTTCTCAAGAATATGCTCGCCTATCATCTGCTATTCGATTACGGATGAAGCAGTATTCATCAGAAGTGCAGCAACTGAAAGATAAGCTTTCAGAAGCTTCTGTAACTCATTCTATGTATCCTTATGATATTAATTAGATTCAGTTAATGTTTTGTTATAAAAAATAGTTAGATGGATGACAAACCATCTCACTTTCTTCAGTACCTTGAATTTTTTAATTGACTTTTTCATCCAAATTATTGTTTCAAACTTGACTGTCAAAATGTTGAATCATGTTGTCATGGTGGCTCGAGTTAGGAAAACTGTGTGCACAGGTCACTGGTACTGTATGCCAGTTTCTACCATGGCTGCAGGCAGGATGTCGATGCTCCTTATGACACTGAAATGAGAGACAGGTGTATGTAAATGCTAAACACAATTGCTTACATTCATCCTTAGCAGTGTGTTAGCACATTTCGAGAAGCAGAAAGACGATCTCGACAAGTGGAACTGCTGCAGAGCATAGAGATTCAGCTTCAGCAGTTATTCAGTGACAGGGACACAGCTTATGATGCAGGCAGATCCAAGCTGTTACAGAAGAGTGGTACAGTATTTGCAGATACGGGAACAACAGGTTGGGGCCTGGATGATGACAGTGAGGAAGCTGGAGCTTACCAGACTCAGCACATGAGCATTGCAGATCTTCAGCAGCAGCAGAAAAGAATGATTCAAGGTTCATTTTGTCTTATATTTAAATTTGAATGTTTCCATTTGTTTGTTCATGATGTAGGTGTTTATTTTGTGTAATGTATAAAAAGTTGTTAGGTGGGTCCCTTGTCACCATGGCATGGTGCGTCCTCAGGTTGCAGATGGAGGAGATGCCCTCCAGGTATGGAGGGAAGCTGTGAATATATTGAATAAGCAGTCGTGGACAGCCAACAAGGGGTGGTCCTCCAGCTTGGGAGTTGGATGTGGGGCTAACAACTCCTCACTGTAAAAAATAATCAAGTTATGAAAATGAACACAAAGTCTCAGACCTGGACAGATCTTCTGGATAAATGCCCTAAGCTAAAGAAAATGGATATGAGATTTGGCACTTGGAATGTTCGAAGTTTGTATAGGGCAGGTTTGCTCAGGGCAGTAGCAGAAGAAATCTTAAAATATGAGTTAGATTTAGCGGGAGTACAGGAGGTCAGATGGATGGAGGTGGCATTGGACCAGCAGGAGACTGTACATTTTTCTATGGAAAGAGGAATGAAAATCATGAATTAGGTACAGGTTTTTTTGCACATATCTGCAGTTAAGAGGGTAGAGTTCGTTAGTGATAGGATATCATATATAATACTAGAAGGTCGCTGGTGTGATATCATTGTTATGAATGTTCACGCCCCAACAGAAGATAAAATTGATGACATAAAGGATAGATTCTATGAAGAACTAGAACATGTATCTGATAAGTTCCCAAAGTACCCTATGAATATTTTGTTAGGATATTTCAATGCCAAAGTAGGGAAGGAACACATTTTCAAACCACCGACTGGGAATGAGAGTCTGCAGGAAATAATTAATGATAATGGAGTTAGAGTAGTAAACTTTGTCACATCAAAAAATCTTTGTCAAAAGTACAATGTTCCACATGATAACATCCATAAATTTACTTGGACATCTCCTGATGGGAAGAAACACAATCAAATAGACCATATTTTGATAGCCAGGAGACTGCACTCAAGTATGCTTGATGTCCGATCATTCAGGGCAGCAGATTGTGATACTGACCACTACATGGTGGTGGCAAAGGTTAGGAAACAACTGGCATTGAGCAAACGAACAACACACAGAGTTCATATGGATAGGTTAAATCTCGAGAAATTACATGAGGTAAAGAGTAAATACAGTAGAACTTGGTTATAACGTCATCAAAGGGACCTAAAAATAGTGTCGTTATAAACGAATGTCGTCGTAACCGAAATGGGCACTTCCACAGTAGCCGTATATTAGTCACGTAAGAATCTACCAAAAACCGAGTTAAAATGTTGCATTTTTTAGTGAAATACGTAGTTAAGTACAGACTAACGTAACATTAACGTGGAATTGCCCAAATGTGTAATATCAAAGACATATTACAGCACTTTTCACTGACAATACACACCGCACTAATACTGTATATTAAAGGTAGGCCTACTCACCAAATTACAGTAGATTACATCAATTGTTGTGCCTTACTGTACCTAGATACGAGTACAGTAATCAGTTATCTTCATCTGTTTCCTGTTACTTGCCCAATACACACTTTCTAAATTACGTTCAATGTCCATATCAGAGAAATTCAGGAATGAAAATGACGTTACATACGAGGTTGATGCATTTGTTCATGTCGTACTAAGCAAGGTATAAAAACAGTTGCTTTATGAGGAATTAGTTCGTACCATTGAATATTTGACGTAATAGACAAGGTGTCGCAGAAACCGATGTTGCTATAACCAAGTTTTACTGTAGCAATATTGTGTTGAAATCTCAAATAGGTTCGTGGCTTTGGAAAAATTTGGACACTGAGGTGGATGTTAATAAAGCTTGGGAAACTATTAGAGAGAATATCAAAATTTCTGATGGTGTGATGAAAGATGCTCAAAATTATTAAACCAAAGAAACAATCCAAATTGCAATGGTTTCAGGATCCAAGCGAGTTAAATTGGAATAATCTGAACAATATGAGATGTGAAACCAGCAGGCATTTCAGGAATAGAGAGACAAAATTGATGACCTTGCAACGTACAGTAATAACAAGAACCTTAAGAGGCTTGTATAGAGGAATTTAAGAAGGGTTACCAACCCAGCAGTAAATTAGTGAAGGATGAGAATGGTTACATGCTTGCAGATTCCCACAGCATTTTGAATAGGTGGAGGAACTACTTCTCTCAGTCATTGAATGTACATAGGGTCAGTGATATTAGGCAGATGGAAATCCATACAGCTGAACCGTTAGTACCTGATCCTAGACCTTTTGAGGTTGAAAGTGCTATTGCAAAATTGAAAAGGTATAAATCGCCAGGTAGTGATCAAATTCCAGCAGAACTTATTCAGGCAGGAGTGGCTGCGCCATAGCTCAAGCTGTTAGTTGCTGGCTTCCCACCTCGGCAGTCTGGGTTCGAGCCCGTGTCTGGTCAAGTTGGATTTGTGGTGGACAAAGTGGCACTGGGGCAGGTTTTCTCCAAGTACTTTGGTTTCCCCTGCCAATCTTCATTCCACCAAATTCTCCATCCTCATAATCACCTGGGGCAGGTACAGTAGGCTGATAAGTGGCTGACGTGCCAAGTGGACCCAACTGGACTCCACCCCCCACTATGCGAATTCAAGCAGGAGGCAAAATATTATGTTCTAAGATCCATAAGCTAATTGATTCTGTTTGGCATAAAGAAAAATTACCTGATCAGTGGAAGGAGTCCATTATTGTACCAGTTCACAAGAAGGGTGATAAAAGTGACTGCAGTAATTACAGGGTGATATCACTGCTATCAACTTCATACAAAATTCTATCCAATATTCTTCTCTCAAGGTTAAGTCCATACATTGATGAAATTATTGGGGATGATCAGTGTGGGGTTTTCAACAAAACAGATCAACTACAGATCAGATCTTTTGCATTCATCAGATATTGGAGAAGAAATGGGAGTACAATGAGACAGTACATAGCTATTTGTTGAAAGACAAAAACAACACTGTCCAGTGTGACTATTTAAGTTTTATCACTTGAAAACACATCACCCTTACATGTTTTGATCCCTACTGATCATCCTCAGAGGTCATTAATACTCGTACTTTTTTCAGAAACTACTATTGCAATAGGTGTTAAATTATGTACATACACATATAATGTCTGAAATATACAATGTACACAATGTTCAACCCTTCACAGTCACAGCAGCAGAAGGGTTGAACATTGTGTATTTCAGACATTATATGTGTATGTATATAATTTAACACCTATTGTAATAGTAGTTTCCAGAAAAAGGATTGATGACCTCCGAGGATGATCCGTAAGGATTGAAACATGTAAGGGTGATGAGTTTTCAAGTGAAAATAGTCTTAAGAGACTTAAATAGACTTAAATAGTCACACTGGACAGTGTTAGTTTTGTCTTTGTAATTGTTAGTGTGATGGACCAGAATGAAACAAATCAAATTCTATTTGTAGACTTTAAGAAAGCATATGATTCATTTAGGAGGGAAGTATTGTACAATATTCTAATAGAGTTTGGGATACCCATAAAACTGGTTAGGCTGATTAAAATATGTTTAAATGAAACGTGTAGTAAAGTCTATATAGGTAAACATTTGTCTGATAAATTTCCTATCCAGAATTGTCTAAAACAAGGAGATGCTTTATTGCCACTCCTTTTCAACTTTGCTTTAGAATATGTCATTATGAAGGCCCAGGAAAACCAGGTGGGACTGGAATTGAACGGGACACATCAGCTGTTGGTCTATGCTGATGATGTGAATCTACTGGGTGATAATATAGATACCATAAAGAAAAACACAAACTTTAATTGATGCAAGTAAGGAGGTTGGTCTAGAAGTAAACACAGAGAAAACTAAGTATATGTTGCTGTCTCAGCACCAAAATGCATGGCAAAATCATGACATAAAATAGGAAACAGATGTTTTGAAAATGTTTCACAGTTGAGATATATCTGCGAGGCCTAAGTTAGTTACAGCCTCTATTAAGTTCAGTCCCTTACATTTTTACGAACATAATTTTGATTTGTTATTATCCTTCATAAATATTTTAATGATTCGACATCTTTTAGGGTGTACAGTATTAATTGTCCATATGTTGCAGTTTTATCCTGCATTATGGTGATGAATCTTGGACATAATCTGGTTTTCTTTGCATTTAGTATTAGGCCAGTCAACTTTATACAGTATTTTTAATTAAGTTGAGAGGTTTTTGACAGTGATGTGAGACATTCAGACCACCTCTGTGGTCTAGTGGTCAGAGTTCCTGGCTACAGATCCAGAGGTCTGGGTTCGATTCCCAGCTCTACCAGATTTTCTGAGAAGTACTGGCTCTGGAACGGGGTCCACTCAGCCTCGTGAGGATAATTGAGGAGCTATTTGAAGGAAATAGTGGTTCTGGTCTAGAAAACCGAAATTAATGGCTGTGGGGATTCGTTGCGCTGACCACGCAGCACCCTCTGTCTACTAAAATTGGCACTAACTTAGCTTACAAGCAGCGGTTGCTTCGTCGGTATAGTTTGTTTGCAGACTAAAACCACGTCTTTTTTATGTGACACATTCATTAAAACTATCACTTGGACTTTGTCAGTCCTCTAGATTTATTAAAGCTATTCCATTTTAAAAATTGACTCTATTTTCATTATCAGGTAGACAGCATACAAAAGAAAATCTACTTTAAGAGTAGCTGTACTGAGTAGGTTTCCTTTTGTATCTGTATGACTTGTTCCACCTCCTGCAGTCATTCTGAATTACTTTGGATCTACGGAATGTGATGTATGTATGTATGTATGTATGTATGTTTGTATGAAGACAGTATTTCCATTGGAGGGGGTGGGGGATAATGAACAAGGTCCAGAACAATAGTTTCAGGAAATATTTATATTTGTGTTTTGAGGTTCTTATGACAGTGACTATGAGAATCCAGTCTTCTGGGTTGTAACACTATGTAGTTAGGAGAGAGTGCAGTGTCTCAGAGGAACACATTATTTCCCTCTTCAGGGTCTAAGAATAAGCTAGGCAATGAATGAACAGAGCCTGCTGCCTGCTTCTGGTTTCTTTGGTTTGGCTTATTCTTTGATTCTGAATATTGATGCAGTATGTTCCGCAGAAATATCAGACTGTCTCCAGGCTGCATGGTAATACAGTCTGGAAGACAGTATTCTTCAGTAGTTTTAATGTTGCAATACTTACATTTCAGATCAAGAGCAAGGATTGGAAGCTCTCTCAAACGTGATTTCAAGACAGAAGGAAATTGCTGAAACAATAGGAAATGAAGTTGACTTACAAAATGGTAAGATATTGTTGACGGCAATGCTTATACTTTGTCTTGTCAGCCTTGGCTTCTGGCTCTCTTAGCAGTGATGAGTAGGGCTTTACTACCTCTGGTAGTAGGTAATGGGGACAGTGGCTGTCAGTGGGGACTTGCACCTTGACATGAGCTTTATATCATTCAGGTTCCGGTATTCCTTGTAATACTAAAATTTTTGTCTTCTCAAAAGTAAAGGAAAGGAAGGTAATGCAGGAAAATCTGTATGCCTGGTTCTTGAATAACATGAGTTCTGCCAACATGAATGTCATTTAACATAATTTTAAAGTAGAACTGGTTGTTGACTGATATGACTGGTTTTTTAGTTTAGTGCGATTTTTCCTTGGCTTCATCTTCGCATTACATTATAATATTTCTTATGAGACATTCATATCCAGCTAATAAAATTTTACCTTACATGGAATTTTTCAAGAATGCATCTGTCATGTTAGTCAGGGACTGAATATACTGAGCTTGTCTGGTCTCAAACCTACGATCCTTTACACATAAATCTGATGTATTTTTGCCTCTCCAAAACATCTCTGAGACTGTGCCTTGAGTAGGCAACTTTACAAAAGGATTGTCCTGGATACAACACAATCTCTGGAGCAGTGATTTTGGTAATCATTGTATGCTGAAACTAGAATTTAGTAAGTTCATGATAGTGATGTAAAGATCTGTGTCACTTATCTGGTGGTGATGTGGCATCAGAGACATGTTGTTGTTGTTGTTGTTGGAGGGGGTGGGTTTCCCCATGCACCGCGACCAGTTTGATCTGTTGTGCGTCCCCCTATAAGCTACCAGCCTCTGTACCCTACCGGTACTGGTGCTTAACATCAGTCCCTACTCAGCCAGCGAGGTCGGCCTCTACTGGCTCAGAGGTATCTCGATGCTTCCCCCATCTACCAGAGGCGTTAGAGACTACTGTTGGGCGGGAAATGTCCTTAATTTAGCTCAGTGGCCTCCTTTGGAGACAGATTCTTTTACGTGCCGTAAAGCTATGACACGGGACCCACGGCTTAAAGTCCCTCCCGGAGGACTAGTTCCCTGAATTTTTCCGCCCTTAAAAATTCCACGACGTCCGCCGGGTTTGAACCGGCGTACCTTGAGTCATGAGGTGGGAACGTTATCCCTAGACTGTGGAGGCCGCTATCAGAGACATCTTAGACACAGTATGTCCCTAAATCACCATGTCCCAAAATCTTTGTTTTGGCTGGTAAAATTGTAAGTAGACTATTCATCAGACATGGAATGTGAATTCTTACAGATTTATCATCTGTTCACAGTACTGATGAACATACTGTGTTTATTGGTACTTTCTCATCTGTTGATTTGCATGATTACAGTTTTTAAGTCTCATTTTCTCACAGAGGAGCAGAAATTGGAAGATCTGAAAATGAAGTGCTGAGGAGAATGTTCAGAGCTGTGGTACGTTGGGTGAGGGCCCCATACCATAAGGCAGTGGTGATTGAATTCGTCTGGTTCAGGATATGCATTTTATTGCGGTTATAACTTTCAGGTTATAATCTACCAGAGAGTAAGTTTCAGGAATTATATGTTTCAGAAATAATTGATGATTTGGCTGAGCATATGGACCGGACAGATAGCAGAGTGCGTAATGAAACAAGACAGGTCACAGTGCTGGACAGGAAGGATAAGACACTTTGTAAGTTTTGTTATTTAGGCGTATNTATGGGTGAGGGCCCCATACCATAAGGCAGTGGTGATTGAATTCATCTGGTTCAGGATATGCTTTTTATTGCAGTTATATCTTTCAGGTTATAATGCACCAGAGAGTAAGTTTCAGGAATTTTATGTTTCAGAAATAATTGATGATTTGGCCGAGCATATGGACCGGACAGATAGCAGAGTACGTAATGAAACAAGACAGGTCACAGTGCTGGACAGGAAGGATAAGACACTTTGTAAGTTTTGTTATTTAGGCGTACGGAATATTTTCATCAGATGACAGTTGTTCCTCTAGTTGTTGTCTAGTTATTCCATTTTCTTGTAGCATATCTTTCATTGGTATCAGTGGGCTGGACCATTATATGCCTAGCTGATAGCACTTGCATAGAAGGATTTATTCTCACTATGAAGCACTTACAGTAAAATGTGCTTAAAATTTGGACTGGAGATTTATATCAAGTGTTTTCTTAACACTTAAATCATAACAGTTGCCCCTCTGCCTAAGCATTTTGTCATTAAGGCATATAGGCGTTTAGAGGCAAATTGCCACATATTATTAACCTTGAGAGTACTGTCTTCTGGTACTTAAAGACATTTTAGTTTCATAATTAGATACCAATGACCATCTTCTCTCAACATGGAGGCAGCAGATTCCTTTGAAGCATTGGTACTTTTCTATAAAACTGCATGGTGTCACATCTCAGAAGACTGTAATCTTAATATTCACTGCTGTGACCCTCAAATCTCATTTCTGTCCTTGGTTCTGGATGGAGGTAAGTGGTTAGCTTCGTGTTTTGGCCATGGCAGCCCTGGGAAAAGAGCCCCTAGTTGTTATTGAAGGTAGATTGAATGCAACAGTTGGTCTGTATGTGGGGGAAGAGAGAACTGTGTGCATCTTTCAACTGTTGAACCATGGTTGTCCAACTGATAAACAGTCACTTTAGCTGACTGAACTATTCTGGCTCTGTGTTGGGTAGGGAGGTTGTGTACAGAATTATTATGGCCATTCGAGATTCTCTTTTGTTCATGTTTAACTTCTTTCCTCTCAGACTGTCCTGTACCAGTTTTTGTATTTAGTGAAAAGGAATCATACATGATTCAATGTATGTATGAAGTGTGGCTGCAGGAAAAACAATTGTCACTATCCGTAGAAAGAGTAGTGACTTTACATTATTTTTATGTTAATTTCTGTGAATGTTTGTTTAAAGATATACAAAACAATCATGTTAATTAAGTTCATTGGTATCTCCTGAGAGTTTTAAGAGTT